GGGGGGGGACATCCTGGAGAAGGCAGTGACAAACCACTTCCTTATTGTTGCCAAGAACACAACATGGGTGTGTTCATGAAGGCATCAGGAGTTGAGCTTGACGTGAAACAGAATTTACCTTCACCATGTTTTATTTAGCTTGGCCTTCATAGAATGTCTTAATTCTCTGTCTTACCTGTCTCAAAAATACATCAGCTAGTGATATCTCTGTAACAAATGATGGTTAGTGCCACCTTGATTTTCTAAACTAGTTGAAGGAGAGTATGCTTCCTCATGTGCTATGCCTTTGGTGCCAACAAGGACAAATGTAGATACTCTGTATTCCTTAAATTTCATTCAGTATAGTTTAATTTGCTGCTAAGTCCTATGTTAAGTTAGTCTTTTGTACACTTTGTATGACAAAACAGTTATTTGTGAAGCTGGTAATTATTAAATAAAGGCAGGGGTTGGCATTAGAAGAACATAATTAGCGGGTGGTTGAGTGCCATTATTATATGCCAGAAAGTCTTAACACACAACTGGGAACAAATACTGTAGGGCACACAACATTTAACAAGAAAATTAAAGTGTTTTTGGTGGTGACAAGGTAACACAGATTTAATTCAATAACATATGAAACCCTAAATGCATTTTTCTTAATACCTAAAAGCATACATAGACGCCACTGCCTTAAATATATTTTGCATGCCAGAAGTGACAACTTTGAAAATATCTCAATCTTAAAGTGCCACTGAATGCTCTAATGTGGTATAAGGAGCTTTGGGAATTATGAGTCTGATGTAAAGAATGGAATGGAATGGAATGGAATGGAATGGAATGGACTCAAATGCCAGAAGTGTACTGGAATAAGACTTTCCATAGAGCTTCCTTTTAAGGATACTGCACAGAACAGGGTGAATCAATGGAGCGGAACAAATGGAAATGGTAGCTCTTGGGGGTAGTAATAGTTTCTCTGCCACAATGCTGCTCAAACTGTAGCTTCACTCGGACAGAGACAGTAATGGAAGAGAGTTCACTCTTGCTGATAACAGTAGTCTCTCTCTCTTACTTTCTCTCCTGTATCTATGCAGTTCTCACTCCTGGAATCATCAGTGTCCATGGAAGGACAAGGGGGGTGGGGGGGACGATGTCAGCATGATGCATGCCCCATCCTTTATTATATGGGTTGCCATGTCATGGCACTCCAAAGGGGCAGACCATATGGCAAGTTTTTGTAGATGCCATTGCCCTAAATGTATTTTGCATGCCAGAAGTAGCAACTTTGAAAAAAAAGTCTTAAAGAGCCACTGAATGTTCTAATGTTGTATAAGGAGCTTTGGGAATTATGAGTCTGATGTAAAGAATGGAGAGTGGAGTGGAATGGAATGGAATGGAATGGAACGGAACGGAACGGAACGGAACGGAACGGAACGGAACAGAACAGAACAGAACAGAACAGAACAGAACAGAAACCAGATTTGATACTATAGGCTCTATAGACTAGAAGGCAGAATTTGAAAACTTTTACCTTTTCGTATGTTTGCTCTTAAAAGTTGTTACTGTATTAATTCTATAGTTTACAAATATTTGATGCTTCCAGTTGACTTTGTAGTATATTTTGAAGTATCAAAGATAGTCACTGAGTATATGAATGAGTATACAGTAGCAAATAAGGTAAGATAGCTAAACAATAAGGGGAGAGGGGGGGAAACCCCCCTATGTATGCCAGGTAGATACAGTTTGGAAAATATGAACACACAGAATTAATTTGTCAATCAGACATCCCAAACATTCAGATAAAGCTGAGAGCTGCCAAGAACTGTATAGATTGGAATCAATTACACACTGACACAGATCAGCAGTTTTTGTAGGAGGAAATTCTGCCACCATTTCTGTTTCCCAGATTCCATTTCACACTTCATTCATCACCCTCTATACTTCTCTTTTGGGAGCCCAGATTTAGAGCATAATCCGCTAGGTTTAAAGTCAATTTCCAGCCCTCAATTCAGTAGTTTAATTCTAATGTAATTAATGGCTCAGTGTGGGTCTTCCTCAGTTCAGCTGAACGTTGGAGGCAGGAATGAATTTGTATCATGCCTCCCACT